GCCCAAGCCCCAGAGCGAGAACGGTGGGGCCCCTGCCCCGCAGCACCCCCCCTGCCTCACGGCACCCCCCCTGCCCCACATCTCCACCCCTAAAGACCTTCCCTCACCTCTTCAGGAGAGCTGTCCCGCCAGCTGGAGGAAAAGGAGGCCCTCATTTCTCAGCTCACCAGGGGCAAGCAGTCCTCCACCCAGCAGATGGAGGACCTGAAGCGGCAGCTGGAGGAGGAACTGAAGGTGAGGTCCGTGGGGCAGGGGCAGCAGTGGCCCCTGAGGTCTCAGGGGGGTCTCCAGGAGGGTCACAAGCTGGGTTCTCTGTCTCCCTGGTGGTGGTAGCGCCGAAAAGGAGTCAAGTGCAGGCTGGTTTGGTTGGGTGGTTGCATCTAAGCGAGGTTCTTCCAAAGTGGAGGTTCCACCAAAGGAGGGGGTTGAGTTGGGTTGGCTTGGTCTACAGGTGGTTGGGTGGCATTGGAGGAGGGAAAGTCAGACTGGGCCAGCCTAAAGATGCCCGTGGGAGTTTCAAGGGGTGGAGGTTGGGGTGAGAAACCCCACCGGGTGTTGGAGGAGCTCAAGATAGTGCCAGGTGAGGCAGGACAGGGTCCCACCATCTCCTCATCCTCCTGCAAGGCCAAGAATGCGCTGGCACACGCCCTCCAGTCAGCCCGGCATGACTGCGACCTGCTGAGGGAGCAGTACGAGGAGGAGACGGAGGCCAAGGCTGAGCTCCAGCGGGTGCTCTCCAAGGCCAACTCCGAGGTAGCGCAGTGGAGGACCAAGTATGAGACGGACGCCATCCAGCGCACTGAGGAGCTGGAAGAGGCCAAGTGAGTTGTCTCCCCGTGGGTCTTGAGGGTCTTCCTGTGGGTGGTGGGACCTGCTCGGTCTTGCTGGTCCCCGCCTCCCCTCTTCCCTCAAGCAGCCACCACCTGGAATGTTGGGTTGCTTCATGCTTGAAAGATAGAGAACCCAATTTGGGGATCTAGAATCTGCGAGGAGAGACCTCGACCATCGACGACCCTCATGAATCCTACCACCATCTTCCTCTCAAACATCTTCATCTTTTGGGGAGCCCCACGGGTTGATGGCTTAGCCGTTGGTTTCTCCCATAACGTCTGGTAGGAAGAAGCTGGCCCAGCGGCTTCAGGAGGCTGAGGAGGCGGTGGAGGCAGTCAATGCCAAGTGCTCCTCCTTGGAGAAGACCAAGCACCGGCTGCAGAATGAGATCGAGGACCTGATGGTGGACGTGGAGAGGTCAAATGCAGCTGCTGCCGCCCTGGACAAGAAGCAGAGGAACTTCGACAAGGTGGGGGCAAGGAGGGGGTGGGATAGCAGGAGGTGGGGACACATGGAGCCAGGATGACCACTGGCTTGGCCCCAGATTGTGGCTGAGTGGAAGCAGAAGTTTGAGGAGGCGCAGACGGAGCTGGAGGCATCACAGAAGGAGGCCAGGGCCCTCAGCACTGAGCTCTTCAAGCTGAAGAATGCTTATGAGGAGTCGCTCGAGCACCTGGAGACCTTCAAGAGGGAGAACAAGAACCTCCAAGGTGAGACCACCCCCATTCCCCTGCCCAACTCCTCCTCCCCGCTACCTTCCGCGTGACCCGGTGGGATCTCACCCACACAGAGGAGATCTTGGACCTGACGGAGCAGCTGGGCGCCAGCCACAAGACCATCCATGAGCTGGAGAAGGTCCGGAAGCAGCTGGACGCTGAGAAGTTGGAGCTTCAAGCCGCACTGGAGGAGGCTGAGGTGGGCTGAGGCACATCCCCACCTTCTGATCCCCTCCATGGTCCTCAACATCCCCTCCGTGGACCTCAACGTCCCCTCCATCCTCCCCCAGGCCTCTCTGGAGCATGAGGAGGGGAAGATCTTGAGGGCCCAGCTAGAGTTCAACCAGGTCAAGGCAGACTATGAGCGCAAGCTGGCCGAGAAGGACGAGGAGATGGAGCAGGCCAAGCGCAACCACCTGCGGGTGGTGGACTCACTGCAGACCTCGCTGGATGCCGAGACCCGGAGCCGCAATGAGGCCCTGAGGCTGAAGAAGAAGATGGAGGGCGACCTCAACGAGATGGAGATCCAGCTTGGCCACGCCAACCGGACAGCGGCCGAGGCCCAGAAGCAACTCAAGACCTTGCAGGGCTACCTCAAGGTACCCGCCTGTCTCCCAAGGGGGTGAGGGTTGACGGCTCCCACCACCCCGTGGCGGCTGTTGGGTGGGTGCCTGCCCCTTTTCCCCCTCTCACCCTCTTCCCGCCTCACAGGACACCCAGCTGCAGTTGGATGACACAGCACGGGCCAATGAGGACCTGAAGGAGAACATTGCCATCGTGGAGCGCAGGAACAACCTCCTACAGTCAGAGCTGGAGGAGCTCCGGGCACTAGGGGAGCAGACCGAGAGGGCCCGCAAGTTGGCTGAGCAGGAGCTGATTGAGGCCAGCGAGAGAGTCCAGCTCCTCCACTCACAGGTGAGACCTGGCAGCCCTCCAAGAAGAGAGGTCACCTCCAGCCAGGGACGCTTGAACCCTGGAAAATTGATGGCTGCTGGCTTCTTCTAGGTTGGGGAACCATGGATCTCCTCCCTCCAGAGACCCCTGAAGCCTGCCAAAATGGCGGATGGGGGCTCGACGTCCTGTGGGGCTGAAGAGGGATGGGGTAGCAGCCTCACGGCCCCCTCCCGACAGCTTCTCCTCCATCTTGCAGAACACCAGCCTCATCAACCAGAAGAAGAAGATGGAGGGTGACATCTCCCAGTTGCAGGCAGAGGTGGAAGAGGCCATCCTGGAATGCCGGAACGCCGAGGAGAAGGCCAAGAAGGCCATCACTGATGTTAGTGGTGTGGCAGACCCCAATGTCTACCAACACTTTCTGCCATAGGTGGACACAACTTGGACGTCTTTTGCTGATTGCTTCTCTCCCGGGGCAGGCGGCCATGATGGCGGAGGAGCTGAAGAAGGAGCAGGACACCAGCGCCCACCTGGAGCGGATGAAGAAGAACCTGGAGCAGACCATCAAGGACCTGCAGCTGCGGTTGGACGAGGCTGAGCAGTTGGCCCTCAAGGGGGGCAAGAAGCAGCTGCAGAAGCTGGAGGCCCGGGTGAGGGAGCTGGAGAATGAGCTGGAGGCCGAGCAGAAGCGCAACGCCGAGAGCGTCAAGGGCCTCCGCAAGTCTGAGCGGCGTGTCAAGGAGCTCAGCTACCAGGTGGGCCCACCCCAGCCCCACCCCTCTTCAGCCAGACCTGTGGCGTGACTTCAGCCACATCAGAGCTGGTGGCCACGGGGACAGGGATGACCGAGAACGTCATTCGCTGGCCCCTATGATTCATGGAGCTAGGACAGGGTTGACCTGGTGGCCATAGGGACATGGATGACCCAGAACCTTGTCCTGGTGGCCATAGGGCCATGGTTGACCCAGAATGTTGACCTGGTGGCCACAGGGTGACCGACAAGGTTTACCTGGTGGCCACAGGGCAACTCAGAACCTTGTCCTGGTGGCCGTAGGGCCATGGTTGATCCAGAAGCTTGACCTGGTGGCCACAGGGTGATCCAGAACCTTGTCCTGGTGGCCACAGGGACAGGGATGACCCAGAAGCTTGACCTGGTGGCCGTTGGGTCACAGGGAAGCTACAATCCAGCCCAAGCTCCGCCCAGGAGGTCTCCAGGCGGGGAAACTGAGGCCCAGGGCAAGCTGTTTGTGCCCTGGGGCCAGGTCTCCAGCCCTGTCTCTCTCCTCCCCGCAGACGGAGGAGGACCGCAAGAACCTGGTCCGCCTGCAGGACCTGGTGGACAAGCTCCAGCTGAAGGTCAAGGCCTACAAGCGGCAGGCAGAGGAGGCGGTGGGTGCCCAGAGGGGAGTGGTGGAGGGACGGGAGAAGGCAGGACAGCTGCTTGGGGGGCAGCTCCACTGAGGCCCCCCCTCACCCATGTCCCCTTCCATCGCCCCCTCCCCATCCTCCAGGAGGAACAGGCCAACACCAACCTGGCCAAGTTCCGCAAGGCGCAGCACGAGCTGGATGAGGCAGAGGAACGCGCTGACATGGCCGAGTCCCAGGTCAACAAGTTGCGAGCCAAGAGCCGTGACATGGGAGCCAAGGTCGGACCTCTGCCCACCCCACAGCTGCCCCACATCTGCCCCACAACTGCTCCCTCACCCACCATCTTCTCTCCCTCCCTTCCCAGAAGCTGCACGACGAGGAGTGACCCCACCAAAAACCACAAGTGACCCCACCACCCACGAGTGACCCCACC